CGGACTGTAAATTATCACTCCCCCGTCCAAGGTTTGCAGCAGTTTGCAGTCACCAGTGAGACCCTCCTCTGTCTCGGTCCGAATATGAAGGAATTCCCTCCCTCTGTGTGCCAAACCCCAAAACCATTGCAAACCGGAGCTGTGGAGCATGCAGCTGCACGCCCATGTGGACACGCTCACTCGCAAACATTGATTTAAACACACACAAATGCACACAAATGTTCGTATATGTTATATAAAATCCCCTGGAGCCATAGATCACTGGGAACAGGTAGAGAGTTTAGCGCGCGTGTGCACACACACACACACACACACACAGGCTATATATCACTGAGGTGGGCAGGGACGTCAGCACTCCCATACACAGTGAGCCTTATTGCAGAGTTTAATAGAGGAAAGCCAGCATGAATCCCCACAGTCATTCTGTTCCAGTCAAACACACCATTCACTACACACTGGCCCTGTGTGAGTGTGTGTTAATACACACACATGCAAGTCCCTACTGTACATCATGTGCTTCAGTATGTGTGTGTGTGGTTAGATATGTATACAATATGCATATATGAATGTGATTGAGTGTGTTCTCATGCAAATGGACCATACTGTGAGTATGTGTGTGCTATATGTGTAGTCACGCATGTGAGTACATCTGTATGGACTGTATCTGTGGCATCAGAGCGGGAGAGAGAGAGAGCGGATGGATGAGTGTGTGTGTGTGTGTGGTAGGATGGGGGCCATATTGACCCATCAGTGCTGCTCTGTCACCTCTTCTCTTTATGAGTCTGGCCTTTTAAAAACACACTGGATTTATGGTCAGTTTGGGCGCTATCTCAGACACGTTGTGTGGTGTGTGTGTCAAGAATTTTTTTTTTTCCTAAATGCCAACACTAATATAGAAATTTACTCTTGTTTGCTGTCAAAAGAGGAATTAAACACATAAACAGTCACAGTGATGAGAGGGTTGTTAGCAGCTACAGTATGTTACACAGAGAAAGACAAGTTATAATATAAATATGTCTCATATTCTGAATTTACATGGAACATGCAGGAAGCAACAATAATAAAAGGAATAAACCAAGTAGGCTACTACAATATTTTCTTCAGGTCTATAAATAAAATAGTAAAACATTATATAAATATTAAGCTGCCTGATTCAACTGAACATTTAGTTATATCAGGTATTAAGAAAATCCACATCTTAGTATAACAAATACAGCAAAAAAGGGGAATAAAATCTAATTGTGCCTATAACGCTTTGGGAACATGCATTAATAAAGTAAAAGCACTAAAATGTTTTCATAGTTTCACAGACACATGTTTAGTTTGGGGTGTAAACTATCTGACTTGTGATTTGTGTTTACACGTGTTGACCTCAAACCAGATTATGAGAGTAAGAACAGATTTCCTCCTGCATGTAAACATGGTGATTTATGTCGATATTAACAGTTACACACACACACACACACACACACACACAAACATTCGACATACATGCATACAGAGCTGAGCGGTGCAGATGGCGCCTTGACATCTCTCTCTCTCTCTGAAACACAAATTCCCACGTCATCTCGAAAAACACTCCGCTTCCAAATAGATTTCACAGTGCTAGAGCCCCCCTGGAGATTAACAAAGTAAATTCCACTTCATCTCTCCTAAAGAAACACCCACAAATTTTTTGCTTAAACCTCAGATAAGCAGACGTGGAGGATTTTCTTGAGACTATACATCCTTTATCTATGATTCTAGGTGCTATGTAATTGTGGATAGAGCCTAATGTGTGGTCCATTTGCTTCATTAATGGGGCAGACGCAAGCCGTTCAGCCAAGAAAACGCCTATTGTTCCCTTTACCTTCCCGTTTTTAATGTGTAGCATTAGTCCAGCAGTTGTTAGTGCTAGACCATAGTGCTTTGCTGATGGTCAAATGACAAAGTCTTAATAGAATATAGTGGGACCGGTAGGACAAAGGTGGGCAATGTTCAGCTGGATGCAGCCAATTTCTGTGTGAGAGGCCTGCCTAAAAACCCTATTCATGGCCGTCTAATGCTGGTGCGTAATTAAATGTGATTACTGGAGCAGAGGGCTTCTCTCTCCCTCTCTGAGGGCCACACACAGAACTGGAGGCAGCGTGCATGCGCTCATTAAGGAGGCGCTAACAGATGTACACAAGCAACGACCACAGGCATACCTAAAAATCCAAGCCGTATCTCTCCCTGACACACACACAAACATTAACAGAAGTTAAAAATCGTGTATATCTCCTACATTTCAACTTTTCAGGTGCTATGAAAAGCAGGACTGGACTTGAAAGGGAACAAGCCCAGGGGTGGTAGAATTCTTTTTGACCGAGGAGTATGTAATCCTTCAAGTGAAGTTTAAACATGAATTGGAGTTGCAAGGTTTTTACCTGACAGTTGGTAGCCTACCAAAGTCTCTCCAAAAAGCACAAAAACAAACAAACACATACCAAGTAATGTAGCAGTAAATAAAAATCAGGGCAAACTATGACCTTCAGCCAGTGATAATCATAAAGCAAACAAGCAGAAATATAAACAAAAATCAATTATGGTTTCCATCCACACGCACACACATGGACACACACACATGCACGCACACACACACACGCACACACATACACACACACCTTGTCTGGCCCGCTCTTCGGTCCAGTTTCCTGGGCAGACACGGTCCCCTGGTGCTCATGGGAAATAGTGAGCATGCCAGGCCCCACAAAGGCGTCCTTTCAGCCGCCTGCATGCTTGACCTGTGCAGGGTCAGCGCTCTGCTTTGTGCCCCATGACCCCTAAGTGACCCGGGGTCACAGCGAGGGCCCCAGGTCAAATCCAGATGCCTGCGTCTAATTTTGTCCCAACTGGGTTATCCGTCCAAATCTGCCCTAAAATTTGCCCCCCTACCGCACCCTAAAACCCACTACTACCTCCACACATGACTGAGTCCTATAGAAATACATTGGTACTCTGCAGTATAATTGGACTTGGAGTAGTGCTCACTCTCTC